AGCAGAGTGGGAGGTGGGGGTCACCTTGGGATTTCAGACCATGCTGGGAAAGAGGTGGTACTGCGGGGGCTATAAAACTGGAATATAGTGTAAAGGTCTCTGCTACTGAGGAAGTTGGACAAGGAGCAAGAATTCCTCTTCCTTGAGTTGCTGAGGGGCTAGCTGTCAGTGTGGCCATGATCCCCCTATCTATTCCCTGTCACGTGTCTTGTAACATCTGCTTTTATATGGCAGCAAGATGCAGTTGCATTTTCTGTAGTGTCTGTGCTCCTTTCAAATTCCACTGAGATGCATAGAAGGACCATGTCTTGTCTTACTGTTTTTTAAATAAGAACTTGCACAGGGCCTGCCTTCAGGAAGGAGATAGAAAGTGCTTCTTACATTGTTCAGTTTATTGAAATAGTCTTAAGCCACAAGAGAAGTTGTGTTCACACGGGGCCTGTGGGCCATCCCCTGCCCACAACAGAAATGATTTCTGATTAAACCACATCAAGAACACCCTGTGGTTACTACCGGGAGATGACATAGAAGAAGCTTAGATGTGGTGGTTGAAGTCACATTCTGATTTGATCCAGTGGCATTTCAAACTCCATTCTACAGAGCTGCACATGGTAACTTCCTCTCTCTTCACAGTGTCTGAAGAGGCTGCATGTCGAAGGGATTTGCAGCTTGGCTGTAACAGAAACACCAAATCGAGCTTCTCCAAGGTAAGTGTCCCAGAACAGCCCCATGCCATCAACAGAGAACGTGGGTATTGAGCTGAAAATCTTCGCCATGTAACCTTGCATTCTGTTAATGGGTTCTTTTGTTTCTCAGCAAAAGACTTTTCATACTCTGTGAACAGCACAATGAAAACTCTCCATCTTACCTATTTACCCAGACATTTATGTAACATTATCTGTGTACTAGCCCTTGATCCTTACCCTATTCATCATGTTGTGCAATAAAAGTAATGGATCATTCTAATAGAAGGTAAATGAATTAAGTGCTTGCAAATGGCCCCTCATACTTAAGCATATTCAATTTTCCAGGGCAAAGCATATGACCTATTTAAGCATCTCTGTGAATATTAAATAATGTACTTTAAAAGTACTCTAGGCAAATGTGTTGGTCTCTTTTGAATAGGGAGGCACAGAGATTATTTATACTGTCATGCAGTAACTGGACTGCATATAGTGAGGATATCGATTAGAAAATATTGTAAAAGCAGGCTAGAAACGCACAGTAATATTGAGCCCACGCTGGTGGAAACCCCATGAATAACAAACATCAGCTGATCTCTGCTAGCTTTTAATGATCTCCTGTTTGGGGTCATTGAACATTTTGGTCCTTTCACTCTCACTTCAGAAGTCTGTGGATGCCACCTTTGACAACAAGGACAGTTGGACATATTTCTTGCCCTACCTTTTTCTGAGGAGGAGACACTTAGGTCCTCCTAAGCTGCTTGCTTCAGTTCCCTCACCAGGAGAGTGGAACATGCTTTCAGCAAAGGATGTTCTGGGTTAAGGCTTTTGATTTACTTTGTATTTTCCAGGAGCTCTAGACTAGAATTCAGTCAGTAGCCCCATGTGGCCAGTGTATTGTTTCAGGGCATCTGTGCATTCAGCTACACATTTTGTATTCCCCCTTTAACCACCAACCCCTTATCTGTACTCTACCCTCCCTCCCTAGCCCTAGTTGAGTATTGAATCCTTTCTTTTCAGTACTCCCATATCCCATCCTCCTTTTGTTCTTCCTTCCTCCTCCTGCCAGCACCTTCTTCTGTATGCATTTATGCTTAGCCAATGCTCTTGCACCTACGTTCTCACTTAGTTCCCTCAGGCTGCCTGTGGAAACTCTCTTCTTTGGTATCCACATCTGACCTTCAAGTCTCCTGTTTCTTGCCCCATCAATACTTTCTCTTTGTACCCACAGGAAGAGAACCGTCCAGCTTCAAGACTTTCACTGCATTGCCATGCTGGGACGCGGGCACTTTGGAAAGGTAGAGGGGGCACAAGGGGTTCCTGTGGAGTGAGAGGATGGGGTATGGGTGCCAAGCTGGGCTTCACTCTTTCCTCCCCCAGCTCAGTGTTTGAATGGAAATGTTTCAAAAAGAGAAGATGCTACTTTCAGTGAAAATGCAAGCAATGACTCTAGCTGGTATTTCTGCTAATCACCAGTCCTGGGCTTTGAGGGGTTCCAAAACTGGATAAAACCTCTAGACTATAAGCATCGCCCATCTCCTCTCACTGCACATAGCAACCATCAGGGCCACTCCTCCAGTCACCTTTAGGGGTCAGTAAAGAACAGCATTAGGTGCTTTTCTGTTCCAAGGGATCCGTGGTCTGGAGCACTGAGCTGAGGCTCAATAATCATCAGCTTTGCGCTGTGGATTTTTTTCAAAGACCACAATTTATAGTGAGTTTCATCCAGGTCTATGTAACAAGGTCACCCAGGAAAACAGCACTTCTTTCTAGCAGTTACTTAACCTTGCTTTTGACAGCTACTGTCTGAAACAGATGAGAACAGTTTGTGTGGCTGCCTACTGGTTGTGTGGCTGGGAGTCAAGGTAACCAAGTGAGACCATATCAAAATAATTTGGGAATGATGCGTTTTTTACTGTTTTAGGTCCTGCTAGCCCAGTACAAGGCAACAGGGAAGCTGTACGCTATCAAAGCCCTGAAGAAGAAAGACATTATTAACAGAGATGAAATCGATAGGTGAGTCTTGGTCGTACCTCTACCAGAAGCTATGAGATCAACTCTGCAGTTAGTAGCTAGTAGGCATGCCAGGCTCCATACTAATGTGACTTTGGTCCCCACTTCAGCCTCAGATAGTTAGAATCGAGGCTCAGAACAAGTTTTAAAAGGTGTCACTTCCTGATTTCTAAGGAAAAAAAACACTCGCCTGACGGGAGGAGTTTAGGAATTGTACGGGGTGAATACTCTCCGACTTGCTTCCTTCTCCAAACACAGACTTCTTTGCAAAGCTTTGGTGGTGCCATTTTGCTACTTTGAATCCCTGCAGTTTGCACTGCGAGAAGCGCATTTTTGAAGTGGTCAACTCTTCTGGCCACCCCTTCCTGGTGAACATGTTTGCGTGTTTCCAGACGCCAGATCATGCCTGTTTTGTGATGGAATATACTCCTGGGGGTGACCTCATGACACACATTCACTCGGAAGTTTTTCCAGAGCATGTGACACGGTAAGTTGCCATTGGCCTAAGTTTTCAAGTATCATAGAGCATTAACTTAGCTCCTGTTCCTCTGAAATGATGACTCCTCCTCTTCTTTCAGGTTCTACACAGCCTGTGTAGTCTTGGGGCTCCAGTTCTTACATGAGAAGAAGATTATTTACAGGTAACAGCAGCACAGCCAGGAAAGTGTCAGGAACCAGCAGTCTAAGATTAAATTGCCTTTGCAGCACACATGCAGTTTGCAGTTCATTGCCCTGCTGGGCTCTCTAGCACTGTGTCCAAGCCAGCCTCATTTGACATTTCCCTCCTCCTGCTCCTGCCATCATGTTTGTTATGCTTGGCTGGGATGATTTGGGAAGAGGAGGACACTCCCAGCTCTGCCTGTATTGCCCATGCCCACTTACCATTAATTATGCCAGGGAATGCATTTAAAGAAGCTGTTCATCGGATGTGCTGCTAGTAATTCATTAACTGCGCAGCAGCAGGGTTATCTGCTTTATCACCATCTCCTCTTTGCAGGGACACCCTGGTGACAAGCCCTGTTATTATTGGATGACCTCCTCTGCTTATGCAAGGAGAGGCTTGCTTAAAGCCATTTCCTGGTGCTTTCAATTAGGAAATCAAGCAAATGTTAGGCTTTGAAGAGCATCCTCCAAGGCAGTAAAATATTTGAGCAAATGCAGATTTTCCACGGATGTTGTATTGTCCTCTTCCTAATAGTCAGGATCCTGCCTCCTGTCAAACAGCTGTTGGACGGCTGCTGCCAGCCTCTCCTTTCATTCTAGTCGTCTTCTCTGTCTGCAGGGACCTGAAGTTGGATAACCTGTTGTTAGATGCTGAGGGCTTTGTGAAGATTGCTGATTTTGGGCTGTGCAAGGAAGGTGAGCTCCTTCAGGGGAACCGAGACTGAACGATCACCCTGGCCTAGCTGGTCAAACTGCAGAGTTGAGATGTGGTAACTTTTGCAAACAGCAAGTGAAATAGCTGCACTTGGTGCAGCTGTTCAGTTTTACTTAAGGAAATCCTGCCTATTTGACCATGATGAACTTTGTGGATAATTCATACAGGGACTGACATTGTTTGATTGCTCTGGGGAACCAGGAAACTGGGTAGCACAGCTGTTTACCCGAGAACATCATTGTGACCACTGTGTGTGTAGGCAGCTTCATTGCTGCACTATTCAAATAAGCAAAGCCTTAACTTTCTTTCTTTGAGCCTCAGCTTGTTTAAGGAAGAAACTGTTGGAGGCCTTGGATCTCAAGGTAGTGCAGGGTCTGTGCTTCCTCCTGGGTGCATGGAAAAAGGGGGATGAAAACTCTTGATCAGAGGCAGGTCCCTCCTAGTATGTTGTTTTTAATGCCAACTCTCCCATCCTGTGTACTTGTCTCTGCTACCCTCAAGCACTGCCATCCTCTTCTGTATGTACCACTCATCTCTGCTGCCATCACATACATCGTCCATTATGCTCCAAAAGAAACAAATTGGAAACCTGTGTGATATGTTCTGCAGTGGCCTTTTCTTCACAGGGATGGGTTTTGGGGACCGTACAAACACCTTTTGTGGCACTCCTGAGTTTCTGGCTCCAGAAGTCCTGACAGACGTTTCATACACCCGGGCAGTAGACTGGTGGGGGCTAGGAGTGCTCATTTATGAGATGCTTGTTGGTGAGGTAAGACCATGTTCCTCTGCAAGGATTTCACTGACCAGCTTTGGGGCAGAGCTGGGCCTAACTATGTGACATGAGGGGTCACCAGTTGGGAGCAGCTAACTACTCTTCATCTGCATCTTAGAAATAATTTAAGTGAAGAGTCCTCCCTCATAATCAAACCCAGTCTTCTGTTTCTGGGTATTTGAAACCATCTCTCACCGTGTAATATTCCCAGACCTGCCTTCCCTATCTTTAAGCCTGGGCATTTGTAGAATGTGTTTCTCATTTGTAGCGCTTGCCTCTGACTCTCCAAAGTGGGCAGGAATTATCACCCCAATCTTGCAGCACAGAAAATAAATGAACAGTTGGATACAGATACTCTGCGTGTCGGATAACAACGGGTCTCTGTTGCAGTCACCATTCCCTGGAGATGATGAGGAAGAGGTCTTTGACAGCATTGTCAACGAAGAGGTCCGCTACCCGCGATTCCTTTCTTCAGAGGCACTTTCCATCATCCGCAAGGTACTGTCATTGTCCAATGGAGCAAGTGTCATGTAGACCTCAACGCAAATACATCCAGAGACTCTCTTTCTGACTAGGTGCCATTTTCATTTGAGCATATTTTGTTTTCAGACCCAGTCAACTGATAGGGAGCCCTAGAAACCTATGCATACACTTCTCTGTCCTTTAATTACCTTATCACTACATGCACGGATGTCCATGCAGCCACTGAGGAACAGGCTGAGTTCCTATTTGGAGCCTATTGCTGCCAATTCTCAAAGGGGTAAATGTTCATGTTTCTAGGAGTTTGTTCTCTGGAGACATATTCTGAATTCTTATGATCTGTGGGTCATGTAGACAGCTACGGGCATGTACTATCTGCAGTTCACAGTGGATCTCCTGCTGGTATCAGTGGGAGGTTAATGAGGGACAGAATGTGACCTAATGATGGCAAGTTAAGACCTCACTCTAAAGAAGAAAGAGACACGAAAGCTTCTGTTTTCCCTCAAGAGTTGTTCATGTCCGTCTGTCCTTGTTTTGAATTTTTGGATTATTTATTTCTGCAGCTTCTCCAGAAATGTCCAGAGCGTCGTCTTGGGGCAGGAGAGAGGGATGCAGAGGAGATTAAACCCCAGGCCTTCTTTAAGGTAAGAGGTTTTTTAAAGCTTTTTCAGGCCCCATCCTTACCCATGTCCCAGGGCTGTTTGCTTCCCGTTCGTTCTTGAGGCAAACTTGCCTGTTTTGTTGGTTAATGATGCAAGTTTTCTGGCATGTGGTTGCCCAGCCAGATATCCATTTCCATAACAAGTCTCTTTCAGAACCACATCACCTAAGTCTGTTTTCTGGTCCCTTCTATTTCCAAGTACAAGATCTCTTTTCCATCTGTGTTCCCCTCTCTCTCCATTTCTCTCATGGATCCATTAATCCTTTTCTGTGGGTATGGAAGTGCAGGTATCATTGCATAGACTGCCAATCTTTGTCTCTGAATTTGAAGCAGAAAATATAAAACTGGAATTGTGAGTGTATCTGGAGGAACACAAATGCCAGTTTTTGGTGGCAAGGGCATAGTAATTGCTACCTTGCAAAGGAAGATCATTGGGACATTAAGACTTCAGCTGCCTACTAGCTGGTATATAAAATATCTGAGTCACATCAATACCAGCACTTATTGCAGAATGATTCTGTATATTTAAAATTAAAACCTGTGGCAGCACAAACAGTAGTGAAAACCCTCCTTTGTACAGGGTATGTTTGTTAATTGTTTCTATTACCATAGCATGGTGTTATGAACCAGGTCCCCATTGGACTTGGCACTGTGGAAATACAGGAAAAAAGATGGTTCCTATCCCCAAAAGTTTAATCTCGGTGTAAGGCAAGAGGTCCTAGATAGGTCTGGACAGAGGAGAGAATGCAGGGAAGCAGGATTGGTCAGCATGAACTGCTTGGGGGGTTTCCTGATGAGAGTGATTGTGGTTGTTTGGATGTGTCCCTGTTAAATGCAGTCTGTGTGGCAGCCTAGTTTCTTGGCTGGTGCTCTGAAGCACAGATTTAGGTCACATGGAGGACTCTACTTTTGGAGCAACTGCTGCTCTCCCTTTGCACCTGCCTGCAGTGGTTATCCTGGCACTTACATTTAGTAGAAATCATGTGCTGCAGATGATGCAGAAGGGGTGTGTGGCTATGCAGCACTGTTGCTTCCTAGCTTATTTCCCCATCTCTGAGCCTGTTCCTTGGCACCTATTTGGTTTGTAATGTGTTCTGTTACAGATAATTGACTGGGATGCCCTGCTTGCCAGGACGCTGAAGCCCCCTTTTGTGCCGTCTTTAAGAGACCCTACTGACATTAGCAACTTTGATGAAGAGTTTACCTCTCAGAAGCCAGTCCTGACTCCTCCAGACAAGCTCCGTGTCCTATCCCAGAAGCAGCAGGCTGCCTTCAAGGACTTTGACTTTGTCTCCAGACACCTTCTAGAAGTCTGACTGTTGTGATCTCTACCAACACCCTGATTGCTTCTACAGAGTGACTTGCCAGTGACCATGGAAAAGTCAAGTCACTGACGGGCAAAGACTGTTCACAGGGCTGATATAATTAACTGCAGAAAGCAGGCTGGTCTGCCAGCTGTTTTTTTCTATTACATTTTACTGTTTCCCTCTGGTAGGGGGAGGGCACTGTGTGTGAACTACCTTTGAGAGGGGTCATGCTTGTTGGGCGTGTTTGAAACAGTCCTTGGCAAACTGTAATGCCATCCTTGGAAGGACGTGGGCACCTGAATTTTACTCTAGCCTTAATACCTTAATGTATCCAAGTGGAACAGAGCCTCCACCAGTGTCCAAACTATGGCTGCAGAAGGGTCTAGCAAACTGCTTAACTTCTCAGAACAGGCTGATCATAGGCAGGGGAACTGGCATGTTCAGCTTGTCTTCTAGAAGGGATGTGGCACTCACTTTTTTTTTTCTCTCTTCACAATTGATTTATACTGTTCCTGTTGGGAGTTTTGGAGGTGATGTAGTTAGTATAGTCTGGACAATGAAGGTCAGGTTTGGAAACTTGCCCAAATGTCTTGCCTTGCTTTATGGAAGGAGCAAGAGATTATTTCAACTGACTTGCTATGGTTAAATCTTGTTTTTAACAAGTACTGACCTAAAACCCCATGGCTTTTGCACGTGCTGTGCTGGAGATGTAGATGTACTTTTCCTGAACAAAATTCTGTCTCTTGTCCCCCCCCCCCCCCCCCCCCCAATTATAACCCCCCCCCCCCCAACTAATTAGCTAAACTTCCCAAGATCTGGGCCAACAGACCCACGTGGCAAGTTTGTTTTTAAATCCAGTATCATTTTCATTGCTGCAGCTGCTTGGATGCGTCTCCTGTGTTTGCGTTGTCTTTAGGGGAGTCATTTATGTTATGCTGATAATCGCAGCCAGGTTATTGACCCATAGTTTTTATGTACATGTTGTACCTTTTTCAGATTATATAAAAGAATGCAGGTGTTTATATTGAAAAAGTTAATAAACGTTGATTGTGTAACAGCTGTGGGCAGGCAACAGCCTAAATAGTGCCTAGAAGACAGAAAAGGATATGTGTAAGCCATGTGGGGTGGGGGGAGGTTTTGGAATAAGAGTGATGTAACTGGCACCTTGACGGATGGTTGTTTTTAAACTTCTGCTTGTGAAACTGCTCTGCGGGTGACAGTGCTGCTTCCCAGCTCGTCAGTGTGACCAAGTCGTCAAAAATAGCAACTGTTTTTTACAGACTTTCCACGTGAGAAGCCGATAGCGTAGGACATTCCTAAATTGCTGGGGGAACTAGAATATAGTGGCACTTGACACGGTGGGCAGCGCTTTGTTTTTAGTCTTGTGGCTTTGGCAAATAGGCTAGAGAAAGGGAATGATTTCTAGGACAAACTGAAGATTAAATGGGACATGAAGATGTTGCTCTTTTGACCCTTCTTCTACAGAGGAAGGCAGGAGTTTTTACCCACAGAAGGTTGGGCTGTTTCTAGAAGAGAAATCTGGGCCTAACCAGTGAAGAATGTCCATTAAATGGATTGGTTCAAGTACCCAAGGGGTTGCCAAGGTAAGTGCTTTTGTAAGGCACATACTTGTCTAAGATCCCCCCAGCCCACACTGATCTTAGCCCTCTCATTTGCAGAGCCACGTGTAATTACAGCTGAATGTCTTTTGGGTCAAATTCCCTTTTCAGCAGCACCTGCTGCCGCCTCATGCTAAGGAGTGCCTGGAGGCAGGGTGTGCATTTACCTCAGCCCTATTTATCAGCTCATCTCTGGCTCTAACAATGTTTTGTAAAAGTTGGGTTACATCTTTTCCTGACTCTTTTTTTGCTATTAAGGGTTAACCAGCATGCTATACTGCTAGTTCAGGAGAACTGAGCACTTGGAGTGTCCACACTGAGAGGTGTAAAGAATGGCAAAAGCTGGACTTAATCTTTTATTGATTTACATTACAAAATAATTAAATTAAAAATCTTTCAAATGCAACCAGATACATTTAAGAAACAAACGTTCCCACTGAACCTAAGTTGTCTGTGTTCAGTTATACCTGCTGACCATTTTTATTTTGGTGATGGCTGCAATCAGTAGTGCTGTATGAAGTAGAGTCTGTTCTGGCAGGTACTACATCAGCAAAACAGACTAACTTGTCCTGCAGAACACTTCCTTATGGTGGTGTACAATCCAGAAAGAATCCATTTCCGTGAGCAGGTACCATGGTAAGGAGGGTGTGTCCTACCCCAAGTAAGGCAGAGTAGACACGAAAACTTGCCATCTAACTTGTAAAAAGAACAGATTTGATCTGGACTTGGAAACAAGAATTTCCTGCTGTCTTTTTTTCAATACGATGATTCTCTGGTGTTGCACGTTCCATTTTAAATAGACGCATCCACTGATGTTGGACCCTGAGTAGGTTCTGCCAACTTGGCTCGTGTCAAGCGCTAACCCCCGAGCCAGGAAAGACAGTAAGGCACAAAACTTTATTCAAGGTTTTTAAAAAAATCGGATGCTTAGAAATATTTTCAGGATTCGGGTTCAGTGCAGAGAGATTTAGTTTTCTGAGGCTGGGGATTACTTGTACACCTCTTGCTTACTGCCACAAGGGAGCCTGCAGTTCGTTTAAACGGAACACATAATTTCACTCTCTGTGGGCGCATCTACACATTCATTAATGCGCCATAGTTACTGCACATTTAGTTTGGTACTTGCCTAATGAAGTACTAACTAAATGCACAGTAACTATAGTTACTGCACGGTAGTGCTGGCACATGTATTTTTGTGATGCTTACTGTGCAGTAGCCTAATAACGCTGCGCAGTAGCACAGGGGTCTTCAACCTTTTTTTGGTCCGTGTACCCCTGGTGGCTGGTCAAGAAGTGGACAGTCCCCCAGCGGCCGGCCACTGACCAGAGGGTTCCCTGTGCACCTGCAGCAGCAAAACTGGAAGTGCCAGCGGTGCATGGCGGCAAAGCTGGAAATGCCAGTGGTGCCAGCAAAAACAAAAGCGCTGAAGGTGCAATGTGCTGGTGGCCTTGCCCCCCACTTTTCTGCGCCATTGCTGTGTACCCCGGGGGCTTCCCAAGTACCTCCAGGGGTATGTGTACCCCTCCCCACCCCTGGTTGACAACCCCTGTGGTAGCATATTAGCATGGTTTTTGCCTAGCATGCTACTGCAAAGTGTTATTAAGATGTGCCCAGTGCTGATTAAAATGCTGGACTGAGTTTTCCATTTTAATCTAAAGGTAAGATTAGTAACTAGTAATTTTGCCGCTACTTATTTGATTTGCCTCTTAACTCTTAAAATACAAAAAGGGGCCTTCTGTCTCTTCTTTTAAGTTGAAAACGTATTACAGGTATTATTAGTGTTGGAGATTTCCTTTATAAATTAATTTTAAAGCTATTACTACCAGAAGGGCAAGTAAGAAAAAACAGCAGCTGCAGCACACTGTTACTAGTTAAAAACTACCTCTGCTTATCCCATTTACATTTCTCTATATAGCATTACAGAATAACAAGAAAAATATTTAGAGGTAGTTGTTGCCCAAACAAGCTAAATGTGAGAAGACAAAGAGTTTTGTGCGTAAACAAACTAGTAGACAAATATTATTATTTTTCTGTTCATGGAACAAACGGATCCTAAAATGTTCAGATCTGTTCATTCACAGCTGAAGTTTTTGTTAATGCATTTTCCTATCTGTAGGTCAATAATATTGTTTTGGTGACTTGCTGGATATAAGTAACCCAACCCATCATGAACTCTGACTCAGTATTTTGAACTGAGTGTATTGTATTACAGTACTTTCTCATGCATATTATTAGGAGTAAATCTCAGATCTTTGTGGAAAGGACAACACTGTGGCATGCAGTGAACTGTAGTTTGTTTTTCATTGTCCAAATATTTATTCAAAACTTTCCTATTATTTGCCTACCTCTGCTGGCAAGGCAGGCAGAATCCTGCTGA